CCTTACACTAGTGAATGGCAGTAGAAGGGCACCACTCTTCTCAGTCCTGTTCACCAGCTCCTTGTATGCCTTTATAAGTGCGATGTCCTCCAGCTCTGTTCAGATGTGTATGATCGAAATTGTTAAATGGAATGTGTTTTTCTGAATGTAGTGATAATGGGGCGTTGCCCAAGCCCTACCTATACACGCATAAATATCATTTTCGAAAAATCGAGGAAAAAAAAACGTTTTATTGTATTGATGCCCAGAGCATAGCATTTAATTGAAATAGATAGTATTCTCTGTGTTGTGATAATTGTAGTGTTAAGGTAAATGTGTTCCGATAGTCGATTGTCAAAAAAACATATAAAATCGATTGTAATTGCGAATAGAACAATGGCAAGTTCTGTGTCGAAAAGACTCTTCTAAGAATAAAAGAGACTTACTCTGTGTATCATATCTCATTATCTGAGATAATAGTCGATGGCAGATGTTGAATCTAACCGGGGTCCTCTGTAGCCTTTGTCTGCGTGTTGGGTTGGTATTTATCTTTTTGTAAATATTGTTGTTGTAAAAGTTGTAATATAATCCTTCGCCATGAAAAAACATCGTGATCAGGTATCTCTCTTTCTTCCAACGTGTTCGATTCCATCAAATGACTCAATCTTAGCTCTGCAGACTCTCAAGAGAGAGCTGGAGGTTCGTAGAGGGCACCGCGTACAGGTGTTGAGTCTTCGCCCTCCTGGACTAAGCTGGTCAAGAAGGTATAAAAGTATAGTTTGCTTGATAGGAGGGGTTTGCAGATTTTCGCCATTATTCGCAGATACCTGTATAGAAAAGCGTGAAACCCTCGGAGGAGCATGTTTGAAATAGAAGAACAACGAAGGCAGAAAGACTCGATGAATAATTAGAAGGAAGTCAATGGTATGGATAATCTGATAGACTTACCTCTATAAAGATAAGATTAGATACAACAATAAAGTGCTCCTTATATTCTTCGAGAATAGCCTCACGGGTTTTCAGTATCCTCCGTATCTCCTCAAACATATAATCAAACAAGCCTCGAATACAAACCTGTACTCTAACTATGTTAAGTGATTCACACGTGATTCATCAAGTCTGCAGGGATGTGCTCTCCTACCTTTTTAGCTAGATTCTTAGAACCTATTGCTTAGATAATAAAACAACCTTATTGATACCACCGGCCGGATGGTCTAGTAGTATGATTGCCGCTTCGGGATAACATCCCCATGTTTACTCATGATAAGATGTGGCAGGTCCCGGGTTCAAATCCCGGTTCGGCCCGTATCTTTTGCCAATTTGATTGTACGAGTATTTCTATTTAAGTTTTTGGATATCGAAAGATATTGGTGGGGCCCGCCTTTCTTTCATGATTTTAGTTTTAGTTTCTCTTTGTTTTAGTGGGGTAAGCCAGTTGATTAGCTAGGGGCTCGAAAATTCACGCTAGGAAGGGACCTCATGGCTCGAAATGGGTTGCACAAGGAGGATTTATTATTTTGTTTTTCTAGATCTAATCAAATCTATTGATCGGCAGTTTATCATTTATAGACTCAGAGACTGAAAGATGCAGTGCAAAATCGAATTCAAACCCTCCCTCTATTGCATCTCGGACTTTTTGGCTATTCGGCAAGTAGTACGATTTGCATTTGTCAATTGATGCGAGATCTGGAACGGATTCGGAGAGCCATAGACTCAATTTTGAACTTAAATCTAAACAATAAGATACACTACCTCAAATCCAAAGGGCAAAGATGTGCATGATATAGATTGCAATCAACATATATTAACGGTGTAACTAGCAGATGTACAGGTATAAATTCATAAAACTGTTGCAAGTGCAACTTGCTCCTAAAACACTCAATAGATGTATCCCCCACCCTCACTCCGAAACACCTAATCCATTCTCTCCTGATATAGCGCTAAGTAACGCCTAATGAAAGCGATTGTCTACTCATCACTTTCCTCTACAGGTCCACCCATACTTGCAGGTTTCTCTGTAAGTGCTCTCGTAATCCGTGCGTAAAATCTAGCAGCTTGTGGTCGTGGAAATTCTATCTCATCTACGAGATAATCTGGCAATAATTCCAATAATGGTCTATCTCTGCTTGGGTCTAGAAGTGGCGTATATCGACAATCTGCATCGCCGTTTGCCTCAATTTCGACACCCAGTTTGAAGTGAAGGGCTATTGTCAGGGTCAGTATGAAATCAGCTTGTGGAAAAGTTATGGAGTAACTTACTACCGTTACGACCAGTCTGAATACAGTCGAAGATATCTTCTTCGGCTTCTCGCTTGACTCCTCGTATAATTAATCCGGTCAAATCACTATAGAGATCTTCTTTTAATTGAGCTGCCTGGGCAGCTTGAGCCGCCTCTTGACTTCCTATCATACGCATTCCACCGTTGGCTTTTATAGCGCTACCTGGAACTTTGACATTTGCGCTCTCATATGATGCTGTTAATTTGCGGTTTGCTGCAAGCTTAGTAGATAAAGTTTTGTTTTCTACCTGGGCTTCCGATAAGGCTAACTCTAGTTGATGGATTTGGGCTTGTAAATTCGTTACTAATGCATCTTGTGACTCGACTGTCTTCTTCAAAGTTCGACTTTCTTTTGCTAAAAAGGTTTGAGTGGCCAGATTCGCTTTTAGAGTAGTGATAAGTTCGTTTGAGGCTATGTAAAGTAAGTAGCTGGCTGATCTAGGAAAATTGGGATTGCTTACTTTTTGTTTTTTCCTCTGCTGCTTTCTTATATCGGTCAAAGATTCTCTCCGCTTCTTTCACCCCGACTTCACGAAGATCCTGATATTTCCCTTCTACATTCTCAAGTTTTTTTGAGAGTTCACCAAGTCTGCGTCTAACAGCTGGCTCATTCCTTTCCGTATCCGATGCACTGCCAGCTGGGTGCCGAGATACAGATATTGGTCGCCGTCGAGAGTCATTATATGAACGAGATTCTTTCGGTTTCACCTCAGGTATGCTATCCTCTTGTTCCGCATCTTCTTCGATATCCTCTTCCATTTCGACTTCTATTTTTGGTACTTGGGTTTCCAGGATGACCTTTTCAGGTGATATTTGCTCCACAGCGGGTTCCTCCTGTGCCTTTCCTTTTCTCTTCCTTCCTAGCCTAACTTTTTTGCCTACCGATGGTAAAATTGCTTCTGCGACTTCTGGTTCCGGAATCGCTGCCTTGGCGGCTCTACCTCGAGTGGCAGCAGTTTTCTTCACAGCCTTCGTTTTGACTTCCCTTACGGCAATAACCTCAGCATCTAATTCATCACCCGAAGCTACATCCTCCATAGTAACATCTTCCGTCTCATCAATTTGCTCTACATCTTGCTCGGAATTCTTCTGTCGATTTGTTTTGTCTGCCAATATGGCCTTCTTTCCTCTCTTCTGCTGGGGCGATTGTTCTGGTGTTGTCTTCCCATTGAGCCTTCCACTAGTGCGTCGTGCTGGAGCTTTTGTTTTTGTAACCTTCGATGGAGCAGCCTTGGGTCTTCCTCGTAATTTCTTCGTCGCGGTAGTATCTTCTGATTGTTGTTTCGTCATCTTGCGCTCTACCAAATGGTCATCCTCCGAGTCCGATTCTATTAGACCTGCAAGCGTTGAATTTTTGAACTTCGACATTGAATGCCCGTAAGTCAAGTAATGTAAACAATGCGCTTCGATAGCGACGCGAGGTAAGCGAATTGATTAACGCGCTTTTGGCGGTGAAGTTGTATACTTATGAGTGTCGTCTGAAATTAAAGTCGAAGCGTCAGATTAATTTGTTGATTTTGCGACAGGGTGAGGCATCAAATTGGGTAATTCAAGTGTTGTATGAAATACAGTGAAACGGCGCAATGGGGAAATACGATATAAAATCGAGGGGAAACCTTTTCCTGATGTAAACAAAGCTAAGATCCATTATTAGCCTAGGTGTGGCTCGTGTTGATGATTTTGCAAGGATATGATTTCGAAGTGTGCCACGAGCAGAACTTGCTGAGCCACAATAGACACCGGACAAACGCCACACCACAAGCTAGAACAAAATCGCCGCCATCTTAACTCAATCTTAGCGTTTGCGATTCTCTTTTGGATAATTAAAGTTCGCCATTTCAGAACACTGCATCACGATGGGGGATGGTAACAATCGAAAGTATGATCTCTTACAAACAATGTTATTGGTCGTTTTCTCTGTGAGTGTGCCGAGTAGCTCTTCACTATGTGCTTTACAGCGGCTAATATATATAATATTTACAGACTGCCTCTTTTATCTATGTCGCAAAGAATTTAATACCAGCTCTACCATTTCAGAACGATTCCGAGAAAGAGCAGCATGAAGAAGCAAGATTAAAAGCCGCGGCAAATCTTCGAAGACTAGACAGACGGGATGATGATGAATCAGATTCAGAAGAAACGGAATCCGGAGAAAGGAAGTCGCGGCGTCCTCGGAAAGAGGATTTAGTCCTCGATCAATATGAGAGTCAAATTGCGATGGAAGTCGTAGCCCCAGAAGATATACCCGTTGGCTTTGATGGTGAGTACTTTAAGCTGGGCAGTGGTATTGCAGTGCTAATTTTGTGCAGATATCGGTGGCTTGGATGACATTATCGAAGAATTAAAGGAATCCGTCATTTACCCTCTTACCATGCCTCACTTATACTCACATTCATCCCCTCTTTTATCTGCACCTTCCGGTGTCTTACTATATGGCCCTCCAGGATGCGGCAAAACTATGTTGGCAAAGGCTTTGGCGCATGAGAGTGGAGCTTGCTTTATCAATCTGCATATATCTACTTTGACAGAAAAGTGGTATGGTGATTCGAATAAGCTTGTTCGAGCAGTATTTTCTTTGGCACGAAAGTTACAACCCAGTATTGTATTCATCGATGAGATAGATGCAGTTTTGGGACAAAGACGAAGTGGTGAGCATGAAGCGAGCGGTATGGTGAAAGCAGAGTAAGTGACACTACGATTTCTCGCGACTTTAGCTCACAATTTAGGTTCATGACACTTTGGGATGGTCTCACTTCGTCAAATAAGAGTGGATTACCAGCTCGAATTATGATACTCGGTGCTACAAATCGAATCCAAGATATCGATGAGGCGATCCTACGCAGAATGCCCAAGAAATTCCCTGTCTCATTGCCCTCAAATTCGCAAAGAAGACGGATCTTAAATTTGATCCTGAAAGATACCAAAACCGACCCAAATAACTTTGATATTGAATATCTCACAAGGGTTATGGCTGGCATGTCAGGAAGTGATATTAAAGAGGCATGCAGAGATGCAGCTATGGTTCCGGTTCGAGAATTTATCAGAGAGCAGCGGGACAGAGGTGTGGCTATGACTGGGGTGGATTCATCACATGTTCGAGGTGTACGGACAGAGGACTTCTTCGGTAGAAAAGGGGGCGGACAAATCATTAAAGATAATCATGCACGACACACAGCTGCAGAAAGTACTTCAACGAGAAGAGGTACAAACTCTACTGATGAATATGAAGATGTTGAAGAGAGTGTTGCTGAATCAATGGATTAAAGATTCTCATCTATCACGTATATTTGGTCACCTGGGTATAATTGTATTGTTATATGTATTGGTAAAGACACAAAGAAAGGACGAATTATCTCCTTCATACCTCAACTGAATGAAACTTTCACGATGGTATTATGATCTAAATTAGTAAACCTATCAAATTATGTTTACCAAGATACTTCTCTCCTGTCTCCTGTCATGAATCTGATTTATCTATAAAGTCCCTCGAGATGATAATCATGATATAAGTCGTATAAGTAAATGCTTACCATTATCCCTATCTTGAGGCGAATCACGATAAGTGAGCACGTCATATTTAGCGTTGAAACACCCCACATCCTCAGAGGCCGATTTACGGCGTTACGGAATCTCTCTACAAAGTTCAATCTGGGGAAACAAAATCTAAGTCTTACGAACAAAATATATTCTTGTCATACTCTCACCAACCTTATTACTTACAATCCAAGAATCTCATATATCACATCAGATTTGTATCTCAAATTCAATTCCTTGTCGTCCTTCATCCTATCAAATAACAACCACCTATACTTTGGCTTGATCAATTGGGTATCCCCTCTTTTTCAAACTTTTACGACCTCGAACCACAATACCAATATGTCTTCACCATCGGGTTCCTCACAAGCATCTGGAGCCGGTAAGTCCAATGGCGCTCTCAACAAGGCATTTCCACACATTGATCTCGATGGTCATAACCTTCCTCCCTCACCTGCACCCTCTAGTCCTCACAATGGTAGAAGATACGCGTTGGCCACCGAATTAGTTTATACAGAGACCAAGGATCAATATGGAGCTTCAAGCATGCCAATATATCAATCTGCCACATTCAAGCAGAACTCGGCTGGTGGTGGATCAGAATACGATTATACACGATCCGGAAATCCTACGAGAACACATTTAGAGCGTCATCTCGCAAAGATCATGAACGCTAACCGTGCGCTTGTCGTCGGTTCCGGTATGGGAGCATTAGATGTTATCACACGAATTCTACGACCTGGAGACGAAGTTATTACAGGAGATGATTTATACGGAGGTACCAATCGATTGTTGACATACCTGGCGACGAACACCGGTATAGTTGTACACCATGTTGATACGACCAATCCCGATAAAGTCAAAGCAGTCTTGGGTCCTAAAACAGCTATGGTTTTGCTAGAGACACCAACCAATCCCTTGATAAAAATCGTCGATATTGCAACAATAGCACGAACCGCGCACGAGTTGAATGGAAAAGCTTTGGTAGTTGTTGATAATACCATGCTTTCTCCTATGTTATGCAATCCCTTGGATCTCGGTGCCGATATTGTCTATGAGTCAGGTACAAAATATCTTTCTGGGCATCACGACATTATGGCTGGTGTTTTGGCTTTCAATGATCCCGCTATTGGAGATAAGATGTTTTTCACAATCAATTCTACTGGATGTGGTCTATCACCAAACGACTCATTCTTACTCATGAGGGGGATAAAGACTTTGGCAATTCGTATGGAGCGACAACAAACCAATGCACAGGCAATTGCTGAGTTCCTCGAATCACATGGCTTCCGTGTGCGATACCCTGGGTTAAAATCCCACCCTCAATACGATCTTCACTGGTCTATGGCCCGCGGAGCTGGTGCCGTTCTATCTTTTGAGACAGGCGATGTTGCTCTCTCCGAGAGAATTGTTGAAGCGGCAAAATTATGGGGCATTAGTGTCAGTTTTGGTTGTGTCAACAGTTTGATCAGTATGCCATGCCAGATGAGTCATGCCAGTATTGATGCGAAGACGAGAAAAGAAAGACAGATGCCAGAAGATATCATTAGATTGTGTGTTGGCATTGAGGACGTAACAGACTTGATCGATGATTTGAGCCGTGCTGTAAGTACAAGTAAACCAGATTTCACGTCATGATGCTAACTATACATAGCTCGTCCAAGCAGGTGCTGTAAAGGTAACTCTTGATGGATTCCATGCGATAGGTCCTGCTCAAGCTATTGCTGAGGTACCAATTGCTGAATCGGATGATGCGGCTGCTCCATTGTAACGAATGACTTGATGTGCATTGCTAGGCGTTTGGGGGGTTATGGGATGTTTTTGATACTCAACTAGCAAATGCTGTGTGCTTGCCAAAATGAAATGGGCTTAGATATTTAGATATCATGATATACCGCCATAAATGAGGAATGATTGATCAATCAGATCAGTGTCTCGTGCATTTGAGACAAGCGCCTCAAACTTCAATAAAAGCAACTAGTGATTCACCAAGCACATGGCCTGATCTCGGGAGTGATGCAAGGTGGAGGTGGCTCATTGTATTGTTATCAATACGCCACAAGTAACAATTTCCCAGCTGGAATGTTTCGGACGTCTCAACAATTGAAATTCTATTTATCACCTCATATCCATATGCTTTCTTATCGATTTTGGCTTTGTTTATGAAGGAAGGTCTCGTGCCAGAGTCGAGGACTCAATGTCATTCGCATCAAGTTTCGAAGAGCATCTTCTTCAACGTCATATCGCTTCTATGTACGACCATAATGTCCAAATTGGGCTTTTTGGCCGTACTCTTCTTATATGTTTTCCAAGTTAAAGCGATTTCTTGGGATGAAGCTTCTTCGACATCTACCCCAAGACAGACCACATCTTGGCTCCCGATTCAAACACCAAATTCTCCCCTCATCACAGCGTCCACAGCGTCCTCATCCAACGCCAATCATACCTACGAGTCACCTAACATTTGTGGATGGGTGGATCATAACCCTGGTTCGTCCTAAATACTACTCATTCTTGTACTACCGAGTTAATCAAAGTTAGATAACTCATATACTTGTGGGGGTTCTGCTACCTGCTTTTGGAACTCTTCCCTCAAATTGGTTGGATGTGGATACGCAACCTCGATGGATTACTTCGCATCTTGCATTCCATACAAGGCACTCAGTTATTGTGACAGCTCTTGCTTTGCCAATCCAAGTATTGTTCGTTGGTATGTTTTCCTACAATTGTTTGCAGAACTACTTTAACACAAACAAGTGGTTCCGATATCCCTTACTGCGCGACTGCTCGTGTTGGGCCTCAAGGGAGTTATTCAATCCTAGCATGCCAGGCTAATAAACCATATGGGAGTTCTCATGTAAACTTGGTATATAAAGGACAAATGACAGTTGGTCATCTCCCTCGATATCTTGGTGCGGATGGAATAATTACATATGCCACGCATACTCCGAATGTGTCATCATTGACCACACAAGGCACAGCCAACCGCTCATCATATGGACTAGAAGGCGCTCCCGTACAAGTTTCAAGCACTTACTTCCATAATCCATCCTCGGATTACCATTCAAGGCCTTATCACGAAGGGATCAATACCATGGGTGCCGTTCCTGAAGCCGCTATTGTCGCAGGAACTATCGTAGGAGGTCTCGTGGTTATTTGTGCAGTAGCTGGTTTCGTGGTGTTTATTATTTATAGATATAGGAGACGGGCACCAACAGCCGATATGCAGGCGGATCTCGATATGATGCCGCTGGAGGAATTGGAGGGGAGGAGAACTAATAATGGTCGTTTGTGTGCATCGGCGCCCCTGGTTCCGGTACCAATACGCAGGGCGTCAATGGTGAAATGATTTACGGTTGATATATCACATGTTTTGGTCGGAAGATTTGGGATATCAAAAGCTATATAAATTCGAAACTATTGACATAGTATCTGAGCTTGATAAAGATCTTTCAATGGACTGCTGAAGTGAGGTAAATAGTTTTTTCACATATACAAACGGAGAAAGTATTCCACAATAGTAAGCCAGTTAGTGTTGCCTCTTTTGATATATTCCATTTCCTCATCCATCACGTCGAAGATTGTTTGGATCAAGCTGAGATACATGATCTACAAAGAACATGACACTGTGACCCTTTCTATCTCCACCAAAGAACTGCTTTCCCAATCTTTTCCTATGTTCTCTTTTAATCCAAAATATGGTGCAGAAAGTCCTGAACTTGTGCATTTTGGAATTTTGAAAATTTTATAGGAACTTATATTTTAGTCGGTTATTCAGATCGCTAATCTTAGGAATTTCACATTTCCACACCATCTACAGTATATATCCCCCAACTACACATAATCTTCCACATACGACCATAGACTGAAGAGAATTGGGCATCCCGTCCGCTCTGCCATACACAAGCTTCAGATCGGTGGATTAGTAGTTGGGTGGGTGACCACCAGCGAATCCCCACTGTTGTATGTTTTATTTTTGGTATTTTTTGGATGATGTGTATATATGTAATGTGTATTTTGGAGGGCGACGAGTATTTTTTGGGAGATCTTGGGGGATCTTCTTGGGGGATCTTCTTGGGGGAGGGGGGGGAGGAGGTTTGTTGATGCTTTTTGGACTTTTCTGATTGATTTGGTGGCTATAGAAAGGAATACATTGATTAGATACCTTTAGTATATTCAATAGTCGAAAGTCCGGACTCGGACGATAGCCTAGACGGCTGCTTGATGATTTTACCCACTATAGATTCTACTATATATTCTATTATAGAAAAATAGCTTAAAAATAATATAGATATCATTTTCGTAATATAAGAATAATATAATTCACTTTTAGTAGCACGAGAGTAATTTATCGTTAATAAAATTATAAACTTTGAGATTATAAATTCTATTAAAAACTTTACTCTAGAGTCTATACAAATTTAATAATAATATCTTTTTTATTTGATTAGGTAATTATATATCTATAAATTTCTCTACTCGTTTTATCTATCTCACTATATACTACTAGTAATTATCTATAATCATCTACTTGAATAATTTTAAACTTACAAATGATTTAAATATTAGTATCATTTTGAAATCAATTTATAAATTAAAGAATTGAAATAAAAATAATATACTATTAATATAATAACTTTATACATATATATATTCAAAACTAGTACTAGTAAATTAATAATCTAAATTAGCTAAACTATAGTTCAACTGATCTAATTTCAAAAACTACTAGTTTTGTTAGAATATCACTAAGATCATAATAGGTACGACAGTAGTAATATTGTATGTGTGCCTAGACTGCACTTCCAACATCCCCCCATTGGTTAGAATAATCAACCACGAAGTGCTACCAGGCCGTATGCCTGAGTTCTATTCTTGATTGAACTCTAGGGTCTCGTTAATTCTTGCAATAGTAAATAGTGTCGTAATATCTAATCTCCTGTAGAGTTCGATTATCCTATGATAAGTATGTTGTAATATAAGAATACCCTAATTCCTTCAAGGTTTCCTGTTTCCTTAGCCAAAGGTACTCTTTTGATATTCTATTCTAAGAAAAGTAGTTTACAAGTAATATTTGGAACTCTATTAAATGGACAGAGTTATTTTATTTAAACCAACCTTGAGCAACTAATCCTAAACCCTTTAAATATTGTTCGAATTTCGGTATAAACAAAGCCTTTATTAGTATATCTGCCATCTAATTTGCTTCAGGAATCCATAGGATTCGAAGTTTATTGTTATCAACTATATCATTGCGAATGTAATATTAACAGATAGCGATATATCTAGTTTTGATATAGAATTTATTCTTTTGCATCTAATCAACATCACTTTTATTATCACAAAAGAATATAGGGATAAATGGATCTATTTCGGTTCTTTTCTTTAGATCTGTGACAAGTTTCTTCATCCAAGCGCCCTCCTTTGCCCCTTTGTTTACTGCAATTATTTCGGCTTTTATTATACTTTGTAATATTGATCTCTGCTTTTGAGAAGATTATATTCTTACATTTTTATAATGTATAACCACAATATTTGATACAGATTTAAATCTGATATCGGAATCCTATATCATATCTATAAAGATATTATATTCCCCAGAAAATTGATTACTTTTCCCAAAATAAACAATCCCTATTATACAAATATTTGAGATATATTGAAAAAGGTGTTTAGCAAATAAATAATAAATCTCCTCTGGAGCATTCATAACTTTTGCAAATTGATTCACAAAGAATAAAAGATCAGGTTAAAAACAGTTTGCCAAATAAATAACTAAATTTATAATCTATATATAAACCTGTTTTTCATCTGTATTCAATAGATTCTTTTTCTTTGCCTTTCGAATTATTATACCCGATAACATTGATAAATCCTTTTTGAAATATTCTTCAATACCGAATCTTTCCAATATTTTCTTTATACATAATTATTAATGAATTTTGAACTATCGAATAACACGGTTTCATTCAATCTTGAGGCTAAGAAAGATTTTCATAGATCCTAAATTCTTGCATTTCTATCGTTCACCAATTATCTTTTTAATACTATTGATATTTTTGTAATTATTAATGATTAATAGATCATCTATATAAAAAAGGATTAATACTCCTTTACCAACAAATAAGTTGGAATTCCTTAATAATTTTTTAACTTTAATATTTTTAAGGAATAAAATAATAGTTTTTTATCAAATCCTAGATACTTGCTTCAAGTTATAAAAGGATTTTCTGAATTTCAGGAATATCTTCTCTTTGGAGGGATCTCTTCCTTATTTCTGGAAAGACCTTTTCGAAATATAATAAGATTTGTATATAAATATCTGTATCTATCAGTTTTTCATTAAGGAATATAGTATTGACATCCATATTATCTATTTCAAGATCTTCGGCCACAGCCTTTGCCAATAGATTCCTCAATATAATATATCTGCCAACACCAGTAAACATCTCTTGATAATCAATTCCTTTACATTAAAAGAATCCTTATATAATAAATCTCGCTTTATAACAAGCGATTTTCCCAAATTAATCAAATTTCTCTTTAAAAACCTATTTTGCTATAAGTAGTTTCATCTTTGCAAAGTTTCTTTAAAGAATAATAAAGGTATTATTCTTTTTAAGGCTTTTAAATTCCTTCTTGATAGTAACATGCTATTTATACTCATTGTCCTTGAAAACTTATTCCAATTCAATAATGTCATAAGTGTGACCAAAAGGGTATAAACAGGACTCCTATTGTGTACTTAGAATCTACAAGTGAAGAGCTATGTAGGGTGCTAAAAGGAGGACTATATATACAGGTATTTGGAG